TGGCAAAAGTAAGGTTTGCTTTTTAGAATTTATATATCTTTTTAAATATTTTCAATCCATGGATGCTTGAATCGGTGGATAAAGAATCCATGGATACAGAGGGCTGACTTTATCTCTAATGTATGGCGACTTTGGGATTAGATTTCATTTGCTGGAAGTGGGCGTGAGAAGTCACTCTAGATAGGCTGAAAAAAGCAAAGTAGGAATCCAACTTCCATAGAAGCATTTCATATACTTCTTTTACCTTTGCAGTGCCTGGGCCCCACCACCACATGGCCTTTCCAGCAGATGTACATGACTGAGATAGCTCCTATCTCTGTAACAAAGCAGGGATCAAAGGGTGGTGTTGAGGTAAATGGCTCCCCCCTCCCGCTGCTCCCCAGTGCAAGTGGAGCAGATGTTTCCAAGAGAGGGAGCATTAATGGAATGCACACCCTGGCCAAGCTAAAGCATGGCTGCAATTTTTCAGAATGATGTCAGCAGCACTCAAAGCTGATGAGAGTTTAACCATGGATGCGCCTTAAAAAAAGAAAAAGCCAAGAGGTCAGTTGGGAAAAGAGCAGCTAATGGAAGAGCAAGTATGCTCACTATGAACCAGAGTTGAAATAGCAAACAGGCTAATCTCCTGCCTCTCGGAGTGTACTGTGTAGCCATTAAATACTACATGGCCATGTTTCCTCCGTTTGGTTCATTCCAGTTTATCTGTGTCCAGCTTTGTTTTTTTTAAAAAAGGGAACTATATTCGCTGTGAGTCGAGTGGTAGCAAAATAGTGGCTTCCTACTGTTAGCTCAAGGTTTTGTACATACATGTATGCATTAAATTCCAGGGTATGACTATTTTGATGGAACAGTTTTTTTTCCCTCTAAAAACATAACATGGTTCCTACATTCAGTCCTCTTCCACCTCTCTACACACTGTTCTTCCCATGGAGCTCAATGCAGTGTCTCCCTCCCCACAATTTTATTTTAGAGCAAATCTGCCATGTAATAGAAGAGAAGCAGGCTGTGATCAGTAGACAGTGGTCCCTCCACATTCACTGGGTTAAAGAGTGAAAGACCCCTGTGAATGGGGGGAAACCACAAATAAAAAAACACTGTTCTTTTTTACCTAAGAAAACAGCTCTCTAGGAATCTCCAGGTCCTCTAGTGCAATGCTGTGATCAACATCTGCCAGAGGGGGATCATAGAATCATGTTGTGGGCCTACAAATGCCTAGGGAAGTGTTCTTTCTAGGAATTCCTGGATCCTCCAGCACAACTCTATGGTTAACCTCTGGCAGAGTTGCGCTGGAGGACCTGGAGATTCCTAGAGAGAGCATATTAATCAAATCTGCAAATAATCAAATCCACCAAGTTGAATCTTCAAATGTGAAAGGCCAACTGTACTCACTTAATTGAAGAACCTTTGTTGGGCATAAACCCTGGGAAGTGCCAGTCAGTGGGTCCAGTGATGAGGAATTTGGAGAGTTGTGGTCCAAGAACATCTGGAGGCCCAGGATTAGGAACAATGGCTCTAAGAACCTTTAGAGGAGGTATTGCTTCATTCCTTGGTTCCAGGATAAAAGCTGTTGTGTGCATATTGTGTATTAAATTTGTTGTATTTAATTGACTGAGCTTTAGACCAAGTAAAGCACATTAAGCTTTTTGAGCACAATAAAGTTTCAAAACCTGCAGCCGTATTTCTTCTGGCAATATTCCTTGATCAGCCAACCCAGTCTTACTGCAGATGCTGGGAAGAGGCATGTATTGGAGTTGTTCCACATCTGTAAAGGATTTACAACAGATAACCACAAGGGGTCTCTATAAGCTTGAATGTAAGGTCTGTATGGATAGAGAATCCTTTGTCTTGGCCTTGGGCTGGACAGCCAACTTTTTCAAAATGGGTCAAACTGACAGTATACAGTGGGCCCTCCACATTCGCTGGGGTTAGGGGCATTAATGGAAAATCCACAAATAAAAAACTCTATTTTTTAAAGCTGAGATAAAACTTCTCTAGGAATCTCTAGGTTCTCAGCACAAGCCTGTGGACCACATCCTCCAGAGGTTGACCATAGAATTGTGCTGTAGGATCTACAGATGCCTGGAGAAGGTTTTTGCTAGGAATCTTTAGGTCTTCCAGTGTGACTCTATGGGCAGCTTCCAGCAGAATCACTCTGGAGGTCCTAGAGATTCCTAGAGAGAACATATTAGTCAAATCTATGAATAATCAAATCCTCAAAAGTCAAAGCCACAAATGTGGAGGGTCAGTTGTATTTGTTACTAATGGGATGTGTTCACTTCTCACAGATGGCTGCCTTGCAGGCTGGCTTGAGTGATGACATGGCCAAGGGTACCTTCTCAAGACCTTCTTCAATGCCTTCTTGATTTCTTCTTGCTGTTCAAATACCTGTGATATCTTAAAGTCTGTGCTTGGTGCCACTTATAGTGGGAGAGATAATCCCAGGAGAAGAGAAAGAAAGCTGAGAAACCCACTAGGGCAGAGTTTTAGTACCAAAGTACTAAAGACTTCATTAGAAGGGGGAAGGGAGGAATGTCCTACTTCTGTTGGCATTGATTATGGAAGTACACCATTGGATCTTGGCCATGTGTAAATAACATGAAGCTGTTATTTGTATTCAGTCAGATACTTGGTCCATCCTTCTTGGTATTCTCTATTTTGACAGAGACTCTGAAAGGTAGACATTTTTCTTTGTTACTTACCTAACTGGAGTTCCTGGAGACCGAACTGGGAATCTTCCAAGAACACAGCACTTGGGCTATGACCACTTCCTCCCAGAGGTTTTCAAGGTTGTATTTATTTATTATGTTTGTAGAGAATATTTATATTTTAAATAGATGTCTACAGGTTGCTATTCAAATTAAAAATAGGTGTTTTTCATTAAAGTAGTATTTTTGATAGGTATAACACTAGCTGGTTCTGGAAAGAGATCTTGTAGCATCTTTGAGACTAACTGAAAGAAAGAAAGGTTCTGTTCATGCCAATCAGATGTATGTTTGCAGAGTTTGTGTTCCTTGTAAATAATGCCCTGTTTTAACTGTCCAGTGGTCCCATTTTGGATTTCCTACCATATTGGGGATATATACATTGCTTTTCATTTTATCTTACATGCCCATGAGTATATATTCCAAACTATAGTGGTAAAGGCAGTTCTTCTCTTTGTGGAATTGTGCAGGAAACTGCCACTTCTTCTACAATATTGTTCTTGTAAAGCAAGTTTCACAGATGTTGTTTTTCTTTCTGTTCCAAAGAACAGCTGCAGTCTGTCCTCTTTTTTTCCTTTTTTGGAGGGTGGCATCTGTTAACACCTGGTTATGGATTTCAGGAGAGCCAGTTGGTCAGAGTAAGCTCAGTGAAGGGGGATCTTCAAGGTCATTCTTCAAATAACTGGTCCCAAAACAATGCACAATGGGTAATTGTTCTATATTCATGGGCCTTCCTACACATCATGTTTTCCTTGTTTTGCAAGTTTTGTTTATGCAGTGGTCCTCAAAATGTCCCCACTAAAAAGAGACATGCTGAAAGGGCTGGACCATGGCTGAATGCCTCCTCACTTCCTGGCTGTTTGCCTGGCCTCTCCATATGTGAGAAATGCATGCTGTGTATGTGAAGAGTAATCATACCTCATTTCCAGGCACAAACACAATTGTGCAACCAATTCTGTGAGTTGCAGCGTTGAACTTTCTCAGGCAACAGCCCACTGTGCTATGTTCTGCCTTGCCAAAATTATTTTTGAAACTAACCTCCCGCACGCAACAAACCGTTTGTAATGTGGTGGGAGTTAGCAGCTCAAGGTATGTCAGGCATTTGCTAGGTCAGCAGAAATTTAAGCATAAGCCTGAAATAGCTTTCTGTATCTTCTTCTCACCCCATGCCTGTATTTGAAGTATAACTGCCCTGACAGGACCCTCTTAGATAAAATTATTGTGTAGATACTGAAAATGCTTTGTAAAAATCAGTGTTCTGTTGTTGTTGTTGTTGTATGCCTTCAAGTTGTTTGCAACTTATCGTGACCCTAAGGCTATCATGGGATTTTCTTGGTGAGTTTTTTCAGAGGAGTTTTTTTCCATTACCATCCTCTGAACCTGAGAGAGTGTGACTTGTCCAGTCACCTAGTGGATTTACATGGCTGAGCTGGGATTCGAACTCTGGTCTCCAGAATCATAATCTGATACTCAAACCACTCCACAACACTGACCCTATAGTAGGTAGTATGTTGAACTTATGTGGCAGCAGGAGTACCTGGTCCAAATTCTTGCACAGCCACGAAACTTACTGCCACATAGCCAACTATGCTCTTACCTTATCACAAATGCCCAATGATACAGTGGTATTGACAACAACTACCATGGGCAGGGAACATTGGGCTTGGGGGTCCTCCGGTTTCCCCAGATAGTTTGTGTGGGTTAACTGCCCTTGAGTGGGTCCCAACTCATGGCGACCCTGTGGATGAGACATCTCCAAGCCATCTTATCCTCCACTGTTCTGCTCAGGTCCTGTAAATTCAGACCCATGACCTCCTTGATTGAGTCTACCCATCTGGCGTGCAGTTTTCATCTCTCTCTACTACATTCTTCCTTTTCAAGCATTATTGTCTTTTCTAGTGAGTCATGCCTTCTCATGATGTGGCCAAAGAATGACAGCCTCAGTTTTGTCATCTTGAATTCCTGGGAGTATTCAGGCTTGATCTGCTCAAGGACCTATTTGTTTGTTTTTTCAGCTGTCCATTGTATCCTCAGCACTCTTCTCCAGCACCACATCTCAAATAAGTTTATTTTCTTTCTGTCAGCATTCTTCACTGTCCAGCTGCCACTTCAATACATGATGATGGGAAATACAATGTCTTGGATGATTCTAACTTTAGTGCTCAGTTGTATAGCTTTACACTTTAGGATCTTACCTAGTTCTTTCATGGTTGCCCTTCCCATTTCTAGTCCTCTTCTTGTTTCTTGAATGCAAGCTCTGTTCTTACCAATGTTTGATCAAAGATCTCCAGATTACCCCACCACTTTTCTCTTGTCATCATAATTTGGTGATTTCCCAGTTGCTGCATTTTACCAAACTAAAAGGTTGATATGTCTCTCTCTTTGGAGCTTTAAGCTAAAGAGCTTTAAACTAAAATGTGCTTCTGTTCATCTTCTCAACCCTGTTCACCACTGGACCATGCTCACCACTGGAATGAGACACCCAAAGAAATGTTCGAATTTGCCTCTCAGGCTCACCATCTTTGATTTATGCCAGTGAATCCCAAACTTTGGTCCTCCAGATGTTTTGGATTTCAGCTCCCAGAATTCCTGACAGTTGACCAAGCTGGCTAGGGCTTTGGGGAGTAGAAATCCAAAACAGCTGGAGGACCAAAGTTTGGGAACTACTGTTCTATACCATCCTGAACTCCTTGGAGAGTGGCTGAGATATAACTGAACCAAGAGTGTGTAAGGTTGTCTCCTTCATTTTATCAAGGATGGGGAACTTCTTTGCAGCCATTGGAGCTATATATATTTTTTTTCCCCTTGGGAGGAAGCCTCTTGCAAAGGCATGTGTGCAGCTGCAGGGTGTCCGCCGTTCACCCACCCCAATTCTGTGTCCTGTCCTGTGTCCCAAAATGGAAATCGGGATAATTCCTTAGAGCTACAAAGGCCACAGGCTTTGTGGAAGTCCTGTTGTTCTTAGATCATGCTGTTTGTTGATAGCCTTTTTTTCTTGCCTTATATGGCTAGCTTACAGCCGGTTTCCCCTTTTACAATGAAAGTGCAGGTCATATATGGGGCAGAGAGTGCTGTGTTTGTGGAGGAAGGGGGGCCTGTGTACCCGGAAATGGTGGAGACCAGTGACCTGCAATCAGAGCTGCAAGGCTGAATTGCAACATCTTCTGAAAGGTATTGCTTGCTCTGTCATAATTCCTTGTCTGTCATTCTTGTTATTCAAAGTGGACCAAAGTACATCTGACTGCCTGCCTTGCCTTTGCAAGATATACATCCAAACAAGTGGCTGAGCTGATTTTTTTTTTAAAGTATTGTCTTTACATGAACCGCTGTAGCAAAAATTTTAGCCACAGTATGGAGACCGCCATGCTGGGTCTCTTCTTGCTGTAGATACCGGTAATTGCCAAGGTGTGCTTGCTAGAAAGACAGATGAATCGGCCGTAGAACAAATAAGGTCTGAGCTCTCACTAGAAGCCAAGGCGGCTAAACTGAGACTGCCATATTTTGGACATATCATGAGTCAGTGTGACTCACTGGAAAAGGTAATAATGTTTTGTAAAGTAGAAGGCAGTAGAAAAAGAGAAAGCCCCCACTACAGATGGAATGATTCAGTCAAGAAAGCCTTGTCCTTTCCTGTTAACTTTGAAATGTGCCAAAATCTTCCTGGCTCCCTGTGACACCAGTGCTTGTCAGCTGTGAAGACGTGAATGCAAATGTAACAGAAATGGTTTGGTGGTTTCCCTGTTTTCTGAAAAAAGGTGGTGGTGTAGTTTAGGAACTATGGGATTAAATTATGTGTAGCTCAGTGAATGTCTTCTGCTTGTTTTCTCCCTTAAATTAGATTTTACTGAGACCCTTCAAAATACCATTATCCTTAGGGTTAGTCTGTCTCTCTCGCTGTTTTCTTCAGTCTCTGAATTGATTCAGACTGTCATGCTGATTCATGGCAAATTGCATGTTGAATGAGCAGCTTTTAGGCTGGCTTTAAATGAACAAACCAAGGGCATGATATACATCATCTAAATATAAAGAAATCTTAGCAAGTTTCAAAATCTGCAAGCCCTAGTTATCTTTACCGACGGTTAAGGCTGGCACCAAAGTGACGCTTTCACCACAGTTAAGGCCTTCAGGAGAAGCTGAGGGGAATTATAATACCAGGAGGAGCATGAACTAAGAGAAGAAGAAGGTCACTTCCAATCTCTCAATCACAGTCAGGTGACTTGGAGCATTAAGCCAGCACCTATCTTATGATGAGATGACAGAATAAGAAAAATGAATTCCAGGTTTGGAGCAAGAGAGGAATAAGTCCTGGATCACAGCACTCACTATTTACATCTTCCTTTAGCCATGGCAAAAGTATGTGCCTAACTGCATGAGTAATAAGGTACGCAAACATACTGGCTGCAAAGCTGGATGGGGAGGCAAAGCAGAGAGATAAGGCCAGCAGGCACCTAACCAAGCTTCACGTCATGCCCCACAAACTGCTGACAGCTAACAGAAGATGTGGACTGGTTGATTATTGATGGTTCTGTCGCCATCACTGTATTTATGACGGAATCATAAACTGATAGCAGTCCACTGAATCACAGACTTCAGCCATGGTATGAAAGTGAACTGTTGGTAACTCAGTTACTACTGAAAAGATTAATAAAGAGAATTAGCATAAGCAAAAAGCTAGGATATCTATGCAGGCTCACTTGGTACAAGCTTCTTAACACTCTTCCTCAAAAGTGTGATAACTGATGGAGGTGAACTGCCCTCCTATACCTTCAACGCATGTTTTGGGGTGACGTGGTAGTTTACTCCAACATCTTGAAAACAAGAATTGAGGCTAGCAGGCTGTTTCCAACGTCATCTGCCAACCTTTCCACATGCCATCTTTCCTGCAAACTGCTGATGAACGCACTCAATCTCCAATCCTGTCTTTTCTACCTAGAAAGAGATTTCTTATAATGTATGTGCGCGCACACACACACAAACACACAAAGCCATAATAGTGTACATTGTGTTGTCTCCTCAGCTATGGAGACCAAATACATTGAGGAATACCAGCCTCACTTCACCACCTACAGAAAAAAGGCTTCTGTACGCTGAGAAAATGTAGTTCATCAAGAATTCAAGTTAATAAATGATACTCTTAGCATTTTACAGAGCACTTTGAAGCTCTTCACAAAGTGCTGGAAGTAGATTTTTCTTCAGCAACCCGCAAATCTTTTACTCCATCCACTCTTTCATACACTGGTGTGCCCATGTTATTATTGCAATGTAATTTTTAAATTGTTGTAAGCTGCCCTGGGAATGTGTCCAAGGGCATGATATACATCACCCAAACATAAAGAAAATAAAACACCCCTGTGAGCTCACCATAGTCTTGCTTCATGTACAGAGATGTATAGCTGAGGCTGACAGAGCAAATGGCTTAATTAAAAGGCCACCCAGTGTGTTCTTGGTAGTGTGAAGTTTCAGCCTGGAGCTTTCTTCATACGTCATTCTTTTAGTTCACCACTCAAAGTGCCATCAGCTTTTCCCAGTTGGAGGCATTTTTGTCTCTGTCTCTGCCACCAAGTCCACTAAAGTGGCTTTGAGCACCATCTCCAGGTAATACTTAATGGACTGTCTCTCGCGCTAAATGCTTTTATCCATTTTGGTAACTGCTAAGGAAATAATTTACTGTCAAACTGCGGACCCCATAATGGAAACCTAGTGTTGAGGCTACAGGCTTGTTGAGGGTTCATACTGCACAAAGACAG